TTCTTGTATTGCTGCCATCAAATCTGCTAAGCTGTAGTTTGATTTGCCGCCTCTCGTTTCCATCTTTTTTTTTTATTATTTTGTGTCCAACTCTTTGACACCAATTTGTTATGTCTGTGTTCGTTTGTTAATTTTCCGTAAAAATTCTTTCTGAAGAAACTTTAGAGATACAAGTCCTTTCTTAAATAAAACTAGTTTATTCTTTCTCAATACAACTTTGCAATACATATAATTTCCACAATCACTTTAATTTAAACACACACTATAATTCACAACGATTCACGCACCTTACTACCACGCTTGACTAAACTGTCCGTCTATATCTTCAATTTCTCTGTCCACTATGCAATTATCTATCTATCCCATCACTTCTCGCCGGTCTTATATATACAAAATAGAGGGCGTCTCTGGCAAACACTCGAGCCTTCACGAACGTTCTAGATACTCATTACGTGTTACCAGCGTCACGTGAATTCCGCTGTCGTAACAGTATCGTAGTACTATCTGTAACTATAATCTTTCTACAGTAACTAGAATCTATAAAAGAAAAAAAAGCCCGAGTTTTTTCACGTTATTTTCTGGTCAAGTATTAATTATTTAATCGATGAATAGTTTTCTCTGAAAGGATTTTGTACGTTTGATTGCAGTTGCGTACAAAGCTACACAATGGGCTATTTGTGCTCTTCTCACAACGGGTATCAAAACCAGACTTCTAATGTTGTAAGTCCTCAGACATGCCGCTGTGCCTTCTAAAAAGAATAGGAAGTAATTAAATTAAGGAGTCTACAAACTTTGTTTTTATTGTATGTATGTCTTCATGGATCAAGATCTAACGACAGGGTGCGAAGTAGTGGTAAGAAACTCTTAAACAGAATGCATAACATATACTACATAGGGCTTATATAAATTACAAGCATATGCTGAAGCATTGACGGATCACAAGCGTGATATCTAATACTATCTATTTCGTTACCCGAAAATTCTGGAGTGCAGTACCACCACCGATGAAATTTTAAGGCTTAATATGTCTGTCACGGACTTTTAGATATATAAAAAAAAATTCAATTTGTACTTATATCGTAGATTGTTTTACATTGTTAGTCTCCACAGTGGCCGAGCAGCAAGTCTGAAAGCTTGTAACGCTAACAACCAGATTTCGATACCAATGGTGGGTAAAGCATAGATAATCAATCCATCTGTGTAGCTTTGCGCTTAACAAGGAAACGAATACACGGTTAGCTTAATATTTATTTGGGACTAACCTGACGCTAACAACCGGGTTTCCATACCCGTGGTAGGCAAAGCATACATAGCTTTGTGCTTAACAACAAGCAACTAAATACATTGTTAATTTAATATATGTATTTAGGGCTAAGCTAATCCTCCTAAGCTGGCCGAATCTCATGAGGTACTATTGGGCTTATGGCCGAAAACATCGCTGACAGCGAGGATGCAGCTTATTAAACAATGCATTCTGATATTTATAAGTAGGAACGTAAGAAAAGTATATTTAATTAGCTATGTTGATTATCAGATTGGTTTTTATCTCGTTCTAAGTACGTAGCTTACTATGACCAAAAGTTAATACTTTACGAAATGAATTTACAGTAGTTTGAAAAAGAAAGTCTTCACTGTTCTTTCAAGAAATGTAAAATACAAGAAAAGTGCTCAGAACATCAAATGGCAGGGCCAATCAGTTTCAATTCCCTCACAGTAAAGCCACTGCATATTTCCTAGTGCCGTTAACAAAATAATAAACAAGAATTTGAAGTTATTGAAATATCACAAGACCAAAAGTTTCCATACACGTTTAGAAATCATAACTGTTTCTCACACCTGTCAAGATCCTCGACGGAGAGTTTATTAAGGTGTGTGGTCTGAAATGGACCTTGTCTTTATTCTCATAATTTTCCTTTACAATAAAAATCGTAGTGTCCAACAACTGCGCATAAAGACGGTCATCTCATTAAGCCTCGTCAATAACTGAGGAAGGTTTTTCAATAAAGTATAGGACCTGGGACATTGTTTTATGAAGTATCATTAACCCTCTCTGAAGTGCATCAAATTTGTCAGGCAGAGACTAGAGGAAAAGTTTACAATGAAAGTGTGAATTTTTGGCAAATTTTTTAATGCATAGGGGATCAAGATGTTCAGGAAATAATGAAACAAAAGTGAGATTAATGGAAAAACAAGTTACTTTCTTACATTTTGTTTTTACCTTAACCTCATCTTTGTGAGATTAATGGAAAAACAAGTTACTTTCTGACATTTTTTTAACCTTAATCTCATCTTTTCGATTCTAACCTCAGCTAATAAATTCAATTCAGAATATTTATCTGTTTATGGTTATTTATCGTTTTTTAAACAGGAACTCAATTCAAATTGAAGAAATAAACCTTTTGGGATGAGAGGCTCTTGCTCTTATTTTTCAATGTCCCTGAACTCTTCAACGGCCACTACAAAGCAGATTTTGTAATGTAACAATTATTGCGTTAATTTTAAATCATAAACACTTTAGAGACCTATTATTTGTAAACTTTTATTAACTGAAATGTAATAAACAGTTATTATGTACAGTAATAAGCCATTATTTTTTATCCAAGTAGTAAAAACATTTTACACACAGTTATATAATCTAAACTTTTTGTGAAAGAAGGTAAATCGTAAATACAGGTGCGTTAGTGAACACGTGGAAGGTAAACTAGACTTTGATATAAAGTTTCTATGAAAGGTCTGTACCGTTACCAACACTTCTTTTAACTAATTTAAATTTATCAAAATTCGGCATGTATAAATATCAATGTACCCTCTAATTTTATCAATACATGTGCGGAATGAATTTTTTCACCTGCACTAGTATCAAGGCAATGTGCGGATATGCGCTATCAGTTTTTTTTTGGGGG